GTAAAGATATACTGCAAGCCCTTATGATCAGTAAAGATTTCACATTGACCGCCGTATAGATAGTGTCGCCAAATCTTGAGGGCATGAACAACTGCAGCCAACTCCAAGTCGTGCGTCAGATAGTTCTGTTCATGTATTTTGAGTTGGCATGATGCATACGCAACGACCTGGCCGTCTTGCATAAGTACACATCCCAAACCCTGCCTCGAGGCATCACTATAGATGGTGAAGCTCCGAGAAGGATCGGGTATAGTCAACACCGGTGCCGTCGTAAGCCTCCTTTTCAGCTCCTGGAAACTCGACTCACAACGGTCTGTCCACTCGAACTTTACAGACTTCCTCGTCAGCTGAGACAAAGGGAGTGCAATCTTCGAGAACCCCTCGATAAATCGACGATAATAACCTGCAAGACCGAGGAAGCTACGAACCTCGGACGAATTCTTTGGTGCTGACCAATTCTGAACTGCAGCTATTTTGGAAGGATCAACTTCAATACCAGCTGAAGTAATAATGTGGCCAAGAAAAGCCACTCGCTGAAGCCAAAATTCGCACTTGGAGAACTTCGCGTATAACTTCTCTCGTCTAAGGGTCGAAAGAACGGCCCTCAGGTGCTCCTTGTGCTCCTCCTGGCTCTTGGAATAAATAAGAATATCATCGATAAGAACGATAACGAACTGGTCGAGAAAAGGATGAAATACACGGTTCATCAAGTCCATGAATACTGCTGGGGCATTACTGAGGCCAAACGGCATAACCACGAACTCGAAGTGACCGTATCTCGTACGAAAAGCTGTCTTGGGTATATCTGACTCCTTGATTTTCAGCTGATGGTAGCCTGAACGCAAATCGATCTTAGAAAATACGTAGGCACCCCTCAACTGATCAAATAAATCATCGATTCTGGGAAGTGGATATTTATTCTTGATCGTCAACCGGTTAAGATCCCGGTAGTCGATACACATACGCGTGGATCCATCCTTCTTTTTTGACAAAAAGGACTGGTGCTCCCCAAGGAGAAACGCTCGGTCGTATAAAACCGAGATTCAGCAGCTCTTGGATTTGGGTCTTTAATTCCTGCAATTCTTTAGGCGCCATTCTGTACGGTGCCTTTGAAACGGGTCCGGCTCCAGGGATAAGATCAATAGAAAATTCCACCTGTCGGCAAGGCGGACCTCTGAAAGTTGGTCTGGAAACACATCCACAAACTCACGAACGATAGGAATGTCATGAGGTGAACGTGCCTTCGACTCATCTCCAACGAGGCTTACAAGATAACCCTGGCAATTACCTCGTCGAAGAATCTTTCTGGCTTTCGCCATAGAAATAATATGTGGCAGAGTACGAGTCCTGGAGCCGTAATAAGTGATCTGATCATCTCTCGGAAGATAAAGAGTAATCTCCCGGTCATAACATCGAATATCTGCGTAAAATCGAGTTAGCCAATCCATACCGAGTATGAGGTCAAAATCCCTCATCTCGATAACATAAGTATCAGTAAACAGAATACGGCCGCCGATGGAAAGGCTGAGATCAGTGGCTCTAGCGTCAGTCACTATCTTTCTTCCCGAGGCTAAACTCACCTCGAGAGGATCGACAGCGGTAGTGGAACGAACCCCAATAGCTTCGAGACATCGACGTGATATAAAAGAATGGGTCGCTCCGGTATCAAATAAGGCATAGACAGGCACATCATTAAGAATAATCATCCCGGACATGGTACCTGGGTGCTGGTCGGCCTCCCTCTGGTCAACTGCAAAAACGCGGGCCTGCTGTCTGCCGCGTTGCTGTTGCTGTGGTTGTGGTGGTTGCTTCCTGGGCTGCTGTTGTTGAAGTTGTTGTTGTTGAGGTTGTTGTGGCTGTTGACGTTGTTGTTGCATTCGTTCTGGACAATTATTGCTGAAGTGACCTGGCTGACGACAAAAGAAACAAACGTTCTGGCCCACAAGACATTCTCCACGATGGTGTTTTCCGCAGGTTGGGCACTCTGGGTATTGTCTGGGACGGGTCTTCCGGTTGTCTGAGCCCCCTCTAAGCTTCCTCTTCTTCTGGTTTGTTGATGGTTGAGCTAGTTTAGGCTGGGCTGATGGCTTAGCAACTGGCTGGGCTGGTGTCTGGATGGCTTCACGTCGGATACTGGCATCGACTTCCTGTGCAATGGCAACTGCGGGGTATAGGTCTGGACGCCGTGGCCTACGATGTTGTGGCAGACTGCTGGGCGAAGTCCGTCGGTGAAGCGGTGGGCTCTCTTTGCTTCCGTACCTACAAGATCTGGTACAAAGGCTCCGAGACGGGTGAACTCTCGTTCGTACTCGTCAACAGTACGAGTACCCTGAGTGAGTGCCAAGAACTGGTGCTCCATGTCTGCTCGGAAATACGAGGGATAATACTTTTCTCGGATCAACTCCTTGAACTGGTCCCACGTACAACTGTCTTTTTCACCGGGACGCATACTCCAATAGGCTTGCCACCAGAGTCTGGCATCACCGGTTAGCTGGATCTGAGCACATAACATGCGATAGCGATCGGGACAGTTCATGACCTCGAAAATAATCTCGAGACCCTGAACCCATTCATCTACTACACGAGGATCTCCTTGGCCGGAAAACTTTTCTGGATGGTAGTCGCGGAACAAGGCGACCACTGTGGCCTGTGGGAGTTCCTGGTGATCTGGCTCTCTACGAGGAGGCATCTGAATAATGAAATATTTAACATGATTAAATAACATAAGAGATTAACTGATTGATTACTTAAGTACAAAAATCTCTTGACGAGTCGCTAAGTAACCCGAGAATACTAAAGTCAAACTGTCAAATAACTAGGACAATCGACTAATGTTCTGTACATACTCGAGCATCTTACTGGTTTCTAGGGTCAATAATCTGGTACCCTCTACTGAGCATAGACTTAAGTATTCGTTTAAATATAAATAAACTGAAACTCAGCACTTACCTGATAGTCGGCGAGGCGTGAGCGTAGCGTGGTCGGGTCTTTTCTGAAAAAGTCTACCTTGAAAAATATTCAGATACACGAAAATGTGCTCTGATACCAATTGTAACACCCCACTAGCTTACTAAAATCAGAGTGCGATTTTCGCAAATCCTTTTATAAAGTTTACGTTATAATTTGCGAAACATATATTGGGATGCTACATAAAATATTTCTTTTCTAGAAATCCGTTAATTATAAACCCATTGATGAAAAACGGATTATCATTATAAAACAAGCGCGTGATATTATATAAAACTAGATCCGAAAGCTCAGATCGTCGCCTGAAAATTTACACGCTGGTTTAAAAGTCTAAAGACGTCAGCGGAAGTAAAACGTGGCAAATATATACATATCAACAGTCGGCAAAAATATAAACATATTTACATGTACTGGACCGGCGACCACCCGCTCCACTCACTCCTCCGGACCGACCCTGTCTCCTGAAAAGAATCATAATAGTGGGAGCGTGAGTACTATAAACACTGTACTCCGCAGAAACTCATACTAAAGTAAACATCAATAATAATATCAATATCATGACTGCAGGTATATATGAATAAACTGTAATCTCCAGACGCGAGGTCTGTACTGAACTGGCCATGTGCACACTCTGATGGACAATTAAGGCTACTGCGCCTCCACCAGAACTTTGGATGGGCAATTAAGGCTACTGCGCCTCCACCCAAAGTGGAATAACTGATATACATACCTTAAAACATGATAGAGCA